TGACAATTAGTGTGATTCCTTTATATTTGACTTGATAACCCCAAGTGGCTATCGTTAGAGCACTTCAGAATTTAAATGTGAATAAATTGTTTGTGTCTCGTACCATCGCTCGTTGCCGTGATACTGTTAGCGTAGCTCGACGTCAAGGAAGTGGACGAAAGAAACAGCAACATCAGCAGAAATGGTTCGAAAAGCGAAGCGACTTGATCGAAACCCAAATCGCATTGGCCGAAAAATGGCTCGTGAGTTGAAAATATCGAAATATTACATTCGGCAAATATTGAAAAATGAGCTCAGGGTAAAGCCATTAAAATTCCAAAAGTGCAAGAACTTACACCGCAACGGAAAGAAAACATACTCGAAAGAGCTAAAGAGTTGCTTCGCTTGGCCGAATGTGGTGAACTGCCGAATTTGGTTTTCTCCGATGAGAAAGCATTCGTCGTCCAGAAGTTTGTAAACAAACAAAATGATTGTGTTTACCTGCCAAGAGGACAGCAGAAAATATGGACCTTCGGTTGGCCACCAGAATTCCAGCGCCGGCCATGGAGATGGTGTGGGGCGCCATGGCTCGTATTAATCGACCATGGCATCAGAATAAATGCCGAATATTATCGCGAAAATATTCTGGAGGGTGTATTAAAGCTTTGGGCAGGCAAACATTTTGTCCGCAGACCTTGGACATTCCAACAGGACTCAGTACCATCGCACTCAGCACGAGCCACACAAGAATGGTTACAAAATGATGTTCCTCGCTTCATTTCCAGCGCACAATGGCCACCAAAATATCCGGATACCAAACCGTTGGACTACTGTGTCTGGAGTATTTTGGAAAGCAAGGTTGGCACTAAAAAATACTAAAGTGTCGATCACCTCAAGCAAGTGCTTCGCCGGGAATGGTCCAAAATACCACAGAGCAACATTCGGGCAGCGTATGACGATTTCATTGGTCGTTTGAAAGCCATAATTCGTGCCAAAGGTGACCAATTCGAAAAAATCTCAACTTATTCTAAAATTTGATGAAATTTTTTTATTTTATTGAATAGAGTTTAAAAAAAATGTAAAAATTATGGCGTTTTACTTTGTTGCAGTTTTTTTATCTCACCCTGTATATGATATCCTACAACACTTCGCATATTTAGCAGTTCTTTCCATAACAAATATACGTTTATATTCCTAACTCGTGTGAATTTAACCATACAAACTATGATCGATGTCGAACGCGTATATCAGCTTTAAAGCGGTTTAACTTTGAAATCAAAGAAACTATATCTGAAGCGATTTTTCCAAAATTTGGAAGAAGTATTGTTTCGGCTGTAAGCGAACTCTTTTGACAAATGCTATTGCTTTAAAGTACATATATATGGGTTCTACGACTCAATCGACTTGTGGGCTGAATTAAGTCCTATGCGCTAAAATTCATGCTATTGTCGAATTTTACGTATTTGGTATGCAATAAATATAAAAATCGGACGGAGTTATGGAAAATTTCTATTTTTTTCCAATTTTATTGAAGAAAAAAAAAAAAAACAAAAAAAACAATAAAGAAAAGTAAAAAGCCGGACGGGACCGACTATATGATACCATACACCACTATGGATAATTAGTAGAGCTCCCGTAACAAAAGAATTTATTTGAAGTAGATCATACTTCCTATCAACATGTGGCTTTAGAGCAATTATAATTTGGTTTTAGAGGGAACTGATGTATGGGAGGCATATCCAATTCTGAAACGATTTTTACAAAATTTGACAGAGACATTTTTATCTTTCAAACCAAATAACATTGCTATAGAACGCATGATATCACTTCGAGAAGGATTCTATTAATTCGGAGCCGAGTTCCATCGAATGAAAACATTCGTCCCAAAATTCACTCCATTTGGGTTAATACTAGTCATTATTTGCACAATAAGTCAGAAATCGAATATATAGAAACTATATCCAAATCTTGGGCGATCTCGATAAAATTAGGCAAATGTATTTCCGAGCTCTATAAGATGTCTGGTACCAAATATCATTGTTGTCGAATGCATATTACGAATGTGAGGGACTTAAACACCAAACAACAAATTAGATGTACTTCCTTGTAGACTGATTTCGGTAGGCTGTTCCAAAATTAAGGACTTTTGGACAGATATTGGCCATTTGGTGCACAATCAACCCGAAATCGGTTAAAGATAAATATGGGAGCTATATTCAAATCTGAATCGATCTTGATATAATTTGGCAGAGATATTTCCGAGCTTTATAAGATATCTTGTATCAAATATTATTGTTGTCGAGGGAATATAACTAATGTGACGGCCTCAAACACCAAATCGGAAAGTATATATATATATATATATATATATATATATATATATATATATATATATATATATATATATATATATATATATATATATATATATAAATATATATATATATATATATATATATATATATATATATGGCTATATCTGAACGGATTTTCTTCGAATTCGATGTACTTGCTTCTAGACTGAATTTGGTCGGATTTACCGAAATCATAGGACTTTTTACTGATATTGGCCATTTGGTGCACAATTAACACGAAATCGGTTGAAGATATATATGGGAGCTATATCCAAATCTGAACCGATCTTGTTAAAATTTGGTAGAGGTATTTCTGGGCTGTACCTGATATATGGTACCAAATATCATTGTTGTCGAATGCATGTTACGAATGTAAGGGACTTAAATACCAAATAGAATGAAACGTATATGTGGGAGCTATTGCTATATCTGATTCCATTTTCTCCAAATTTAATGTACTTCGGTTGAGGATATATGGGATAACATCTAAACCTGATCGAATTACCACCAAGTTCAATAGGATTCGACTTTCAAATATTGTTTTGAAAATTTCATCTTAATCGGATAATAAATGCGACCTGCATTTTGTTCACAAGAATTCATGGACAGACGGACGAACGGACAAATGGATTAAATTGACTCAGAAAGTGATTCTATGCAGATCCTCAAAAGTAACTATGAGACTATCTCGCTTCCTTCTCCATGTTACAACCACTATGTGGTGAAGGGCATAAAAACCGTGTACAATATTTTCTATGTAATTACCCAGCAAAATAATTTATGTGCTAATACCGGATCCCAGTTCTAGATAAACAATATCCTAGCAGATCTTAATTATATCAGGGCACATGAATTCAATTTCTTAAAGAACTTTGTTGTGTGCAGCTAATTCGTTAGAATATAATTACTCTGTCTTATGCACTTTTGAATTTCAGAAAATTGTTTTCGTTTAATTACTTTTATTTGGAAAAAAAGTCACAACAGATCATTTATCTAATTTGAAATGTTGTTTTATTCTATTTTCAGGAACTTGAAACAACAACAACAACGCGAACAAAAACTACAGCAAATATTCATAGCGATAAAAGACTGACTTTAACGACAACAACAGCAGCAGCAGCAGCAACAACAACAAGAAACAACTACAGTCAATCAAATGTTGCATTTGTATAAATTATACGACGCATACACCATCAAAAGAGATTTAACAGCAAACGTTATTTCAAATAGTTTCTTAGTTTTCAAAATATTTCTTCTTCTTCTGCGTCGTCGTTTTTGCTTTAAGCTTTAATTGCTCCGAAGAAGTTGAAAGACGAATATTTACATATAGTTTGTCGAAGTGGTGGAAAAGGAGAAGAAGAAGTGGACGAAAGGACAACATCGGTGGGGAGAAGAAAGAAACACTTGGATCTGAAAAGAAATGTTCGCTGAATGATGTGGAAATGGTAAGAAGCGCAATTGGGGTTTCTCTATACTCCAGGATTAATTATGCAAATTGAATTGAAACTGTCAACCAAGTTAGGCTCCTCCAGCCCCCCACACATTCAGACAGACAGACGGCATTGCATGAGCATCGTAGAATAAAAATGTTGCTGACAAAGACATTGTTTCTTGAGAATTTGAACTTGGCATAACTGGAGGCAAAGTCATGCAAGATCTTAAAGCGAAGCACCGTAACGGCGAACCAAGAATATCCATGGCAACCAAACAACACAAAGCTAAGCAGGATTCCATAGAAATACTAAAGCTGGGAACACAACAAAAGCAACGAAATCTAAAAATTATACCATCATCCGCAATTTTATCAGTAGTGCCACCAACCGCTTCATCTGTAACATGCACCACAATGTCCTGCTCCGAAATGATTCGCATGGATTCTGCAATATTTAAAACCGAACATAATTCATCGTCAGCAATATCTGGGATATTGTCATACCCATTTAACTCATCGTCGTCAGCAGCGTCATCATTGTCATCGGCAAAGGCAACAGCTTCAGCTACAACGAATAGCTCTTCTGGTCGAAACAAAAACGAGTCAAGAGCTAAAACATCATTAACACCAACGTGCTTATTAAGGACTCTAAGAAAACCCATTGCAGGCCACAGCTCGTCAGGCTGCAGCTGCAGCATCATCCATAGAGCTTCTTACATTTCGTGTTGGCTCAACAGCATCATCAACACAAATATCAAAATCACAATGCGGAGAAGGCAGGAGAAGGTCCGGCAATACCAACTCCCAACCAACCAGGACGGGTCAGTCCAACGCTTCAGTCTCTCTCAACGTAGTTGTCACTCACATTCAAACCATTGTGCCGGAATTTCATTACAACATCCAAATAATAGCACAGATCTTGTACAGCAACATGGAAAACATTGTCATCAGCGGCAGAAAACGAAAGAAAAGCTGCAGCAGCGGCATTCCCAGCGGCAACAACATCCACTGTTAAATAAAACACGAAAATTCTTACAATTGCTGACATATTTCGTAGCAATCTTTACAACATTAACAGTGCCGACATCGTATGCAAAAACCCCAACAACAACACCAACAGCAATCGAACAACATGTGAACTTAAACGAAAGGAATTTGGAAATAGCCACAACGGCAGGGAAAAACTCATCCTGGGCATCAACGTTCATAGTTAACAACAACAACAACAGCAGCAACAACAACATCGATATCGTCAGGAGTAACAAATATTCGCAGGATTTTTCGTCATCACTGGCATTCATTGATGAGCATGATGACATGGTATCCGCAACACCATCCCACGTAGTTTCCACACCAACATCACTGGGGCCCAGCAACACGTTATCCTTGGCAAATGGCAACAACAACAACAACAACAAAATCAATTCCAGGCTAGCTGTTGATACCAATAACATCTTTACTTCACGTTTCATTCGCTCTCTGGAGAGTGGCAGTAGTAGCAGTAGTGGCGGAGGTGGCAGCAGTACCAGCTCGAGCTCATTCACATCTTCTTCGACCGGACCATCTGGTTTTATGAATATCAACAATCAAAATTTGGATGTCGGTCTAGCCAATAACATCGAATGCCCCAGCTTTGATGAGAGTTCAGCATGTCCTTGTTATAAATTTGAAGATGGTGAGTATTTTTTGGAAGTTCAAATTTGTGGAATTTAAATTAAACAAGTAACAAGTAGAAAAGGTGTAAGTCGGTCGGGCCGATCTTTGAATACCCTCCACTATTTGGAACGAATTTGGCAATTAAAATAAGTTAAAAAGCAGTAAGTTCGGCCGGGCCGAACTTTGAATACAGTCCACCATTTGGAACGAATTTGACAATTTTCAAAAAATAAAATCCGTTAAAAATTCTGTTAAAGTCTTAAAAATACCGAATATAGCCTTTATATTGGGGTCTATACGACGTGGACCTACATAGGCATTGTTTGTTATAAGCCATTACCATATTCAAATTCGAAAACTTGAAATAAATTGTGAATAATGTAGCTAAAATCATCAAAATATCGTATATAGGGATGTATCGGAGCAATACGAAGACCTGGACTTGCATAGACAATTTTCTGTCACTGGCTTTAGCATCCATTACGAACTTCAAATACGACATCTCAAACAATTTCTGTGAATATTGTACCTAAAATCAAAATACCGATTATAAGGAGGTACTGATATATGGGGCCAATACGACGACCGGGACCTGCATAGACAATTTTCTGTTACAGACTGTAGTTCCCATTACGAACTCTAAATAAGTAATTTGTAAACTTCTCCCGTGAATAATGACGCTAAAATCATCCAAATACCGCATATTGGGAGGTACCGTTATAGGAAGACTTGAACCTGCACAGACAATTTTCTGTCGTAGGCTGTAGTATCCATTACGAACTTCAAATTTGAAACAATTCTGATGAATAGTGTGGCTTGTTTGTTCGGGATACCGTAGTATTTTGTTGTTGCAAAATGGTCAGGCTTTATCCCTTTTTTTGTTGTTTTTATAAAAACAACGTTAGTTTATTAGTGGAGAACGATGGTAATGTTTACCAGGGGGTAAGGCAGGGAATACCTAGGTTTTGGAAAGAGCCACCATAATGATGAATAATGTCGCTAAAATCATCAAAATAACGAATATAGGGAGGTACCGTTATAGGTGTGCAAAATTTTAGCCTTTTATCTCAATTCGTTCAAAAGATAGCGTGATTACAACAGACAGACGGACATCGCTAAATCGACTTTGAATTTTACGCGGCATAAGTATTTACACGGTCTGGCATAAGTATTTGGAGGAGTTTCAAACGGATTGATAAAGTTAATATACCCTCCATAGTATGGTGGAGGGTATAAAAAATAAAATCTGTTAAAATCTTGAAAATACCGAATGTAGCCGTTATATTAGGGTATATTATACGACGTGGACCTGCATATGCAACTTTTGTCATAATCCATTAAAATATTCAAATGTGAAACTTAAAAAAAATCGGTGAATAATGTAGCTAAAATCATCACTATTATATGGGGACTATACCAAAACGTGGATCTTTACAGACAATTTTCTGTCATAGGCTGTAGTAGCCATTACGAACTTCAAATACAAAATGTAAAACAATTCCGGTGAATAATCTCGCTTAAATCATCAAAATAACGAAACCATTACCAATATATGGGGCGAAACCAAAACGTGGACCTACATGGCCTATTTTCAATACCAATTCATCAATGTCCTTCATTTCGTTGGGAAGCTAGAGTGATTTCCACAGACAAACGGACATTGCTAAATCGACATCGAATTTTATGCGGATCAAGAATATATACACTTTATGCGGTCTAAAATCTATATTTCGAGGTGCTACAAATGGAATGACAAACTTAATATACCCTCCATTCTATGGTGGAGGGTATAAAAATACCGATATAGGTCTATATATCAAATATCAAGTACCGAATCGTTGTATAAAAATCGTTGACCAATATGGGCAGTTTTTGACACAGGTTGTAGGTTGTAACATATAACCCATTACGAACTACAAATAGCAATTTCTTGACAAATAAATAAAAAATCATCAAAATACCGAATGTGGTACTCTAATATAGGGGATTTATGAAAATGTTGACCTATATATACAATGTTCCGCTACCGGAGTTAGAACCCACAACGAATTACAAATACCAATTTTTAGACAAATCCGAGGAAAATGTGATTAAAACCATCAAAATACCGAATATCAAGAGGTACCCTACATATACAACGTTCCGCTACCGGATCTAAAACCCATGGCATTCAACAAATACCCTTATTTTAGACTAACCCGCGGAAAAATGTGACAGAAATCATCAAAATACTGAATATCGGGAGGTACACGTATATTGGGGCTATACGAAAACGTGGACCTACCACGTGTCACCGAAGCTGTAACACATAACTATAAATACCAATTTTTAAACAAATTGGTAAAAAATACATTACAATTCCTAATATTGGGAGCTACTGTTATATGGCATTTACCCCAATTCGTTGACCTATACAGGGTGAGATAAAAAAAAAACTGCAAACGCCATAATTTTTACATTTCTTTAAAATTTTATTGACTGTAAGGAAAAATCGCCGGTAATAGCATAAAATTTTAGAATAAGCTTAAATTTGTTCGAATTAGTCACCTTTGGCACAAATTATGGCCTTCAAACGGCCAATGAAACCGCCACATGCTGTCCGAACGTTTCTCTGTGGTATTTTGGCCCATTCCCGGCGAAGTGCTTGCTTGAGGTGATCGACACTTTGGTATTTTTTAGTGGCAACCTTGCCTTTTATGGCCATTATGCGCAGGAAATGAAGCGAGGAACCCCATATTGTAACCATTATTGGGTGGCGCGTGCTGAGTCCGATGGTGCTGTGTCCTGTTGGAATGTCCAAGGTCTGTGGCCAAAATGTTTGCGTGCCCAAGGCTTTAATACATCCTCCAGAATGGCCGTCGCTTGAGTTCTGGTGGTCAACCGAAGGTGGACATTTTTCAGCTGACCTCTTTGGCATGTAAACACGATCATTTTAGGGTTTGCAAAGTCAGAGCAAAATCGGATTGTCCTTTCTTTTTTTGTGCAAAAAATATGTATTTTTTAAATTTCGACCTTTTGTGGAGGAGGTACAACGCTGCTGGACAACGAATGTTTTCTCATCTCATCGGAGAAAACCAAATTCGGCAGTTAAATAAAATAAAAATTTCGTTCCTCAAAATATTCGTTAAAAAATCCATGATTTTTTCCAAATAGACATTATAAGAATATTCCAATCCTAAAAAAGTTAAACTTTTGATGGTGTGGACATTTACATATTTTTGAAAAGTTGGGTCTTGGTATGACCCCATTTATACCATTTATTCCATTTATACTTGGCACATCTAAATATTTCTATCAACACAGGATCTATTACAAAAAAAGCGGTACAGATCTGACCATTCCTCCTGCTACCTCCCCCACAAATGGTCAAAGTTTTGAATAACCAAAACGTTTATAAAATCCGAAATAAGCATCAGGTTGTCTTAATATTTCACACATCCCATTATTTCCACTAACAAAAATCCTTTGTGAAGATGGGATATATAGGTCCACTACTTCTGGTACCTCCCCCATAAAGGGTTAACATTTTGAATATCCATGAAACTAAAAAAAGCGAAATTGACATCCGATTTTATCATATTTAGTTCGGTCCGATACGAAATGGCCAATATTGGCCAATTCCTTCAGAACCAAGTGCATAAGGGGTTAAACATTTGAATTATCATAACAGAAGTCAAAAGATTTTTGTGGTCCTTCACAAAGTCGAAACTTTGAATAAATGTTGTATAGCAAGATTAGCTATTACACTTGATCATTCGTACGTATTCCCTTTTAAATTAAAAAAGTCTTTACCAGAATACTATTAGACAAATAAAAAGGTCAATAAGACTCATAGTGTAATGCAATATGAATCCCTTAATCAAACTCCAAATTTAAACCGCAACTTAAAACAGATGTATCTTTAATATATTATTCATTTTTATTTCACAGGCCTCTTTCTCGAGTGTCCCGGTACAACGGCGATATCGTTGCGTTCCACACTGGAACGAATATCATCGCCCATCCATTCGTTGTCAATTTATGATTTTGATCGTTCGGTCACGTCTCTATCGCAGGATGTCTTCCAGCCAGGTGTCAATATAAGACATTTACAGTTTTCACATTCGCATTTGGAAACGTTGAAAGATAATAGTCTCAAGAATGTACGTGCATCGTTGGAATCGTTGAGCATCGTTAATGGTAAATTAACACAGGTATGTACCTACATATTTTAAGCCGAACGCTCGAATTGTAACATAATGGTTATGTGCAATGCATTTGGCAGTGATGAACACATGTTCGAACATAAAGGTGTGGGTACATGTGTGTAAGGCAGGCATATGTTTGAAATGGACATGAACATGTTTATAGATGTATATATGTGTTTGTGGGAATGTTGTGTGAATAAAATAACGTACGAAAGTCCATTTAACAGTTGCGTAATTATATAAGACAGTTGGGTGAATAATATTTGTTGAAATGTGGACAGTGAAATGGGTGGAGTTTTGTTCCTACTAAGAACACTTTGAAACGCTAATTGTTTCCAGTTTTTTGTTTTGTAATAAATGAGAATATTTGATATAAAAAATGCTTTTGTATTAAATAAGTTTGTACCTTTACAAAAACCTTATATATCTATATGAATAAAGGTTTAAGTAATTGACTGACTGACTTAACCATTCATCAACAATTAGACGAAATGGCTGTAGCTTAAACTTGAAATTTTGGTTTACTCTTGGTTTCGAAGAAGTGAGATAAGTCTGGGTTCCGGAAATTCATACTAGAACGGTACAAAAAGTATAAAAAGGTAAAAAATATGGTACACTTTGAGGAAGCTGTAGATCTAAAACTCTTAAATTTGGAATTAGGATCGCTGATGGGGCGTCTTGAGTGAATATATAGAGCTGGAATCTCGAAATTTGATATTTTGAAAATTGCACTGTATGAAGTTATGATTAAAACATTTTGTCAAAAAGAAAAATATGCATTCTGAGTACAAAAAAGGCCTAGCATGAACTCTTGGAACGGATGTAAATTTTAACGAGGACTTTTCGCTTTCGAAGTAGCGGGCACTTGCTAGTGAGAGAATAAAAATGAAAAGCTGAAGTAAGAATCTTGAAATTTTTGGTGAGGGTCACTCTTGGTCTTAAGGGGTGAGACAAGGCTGGGTTTTTGGAAATTCGTACTAAAACGGTACAAAAAGTATAAAAATATACTAAATATGGTGCCTTTGGGGAAGCAGTACAACTATTCCTTTTAAATTTGGAATGAGGGTCGTTGAAGGATGATAGATGATGATGAAAGTGTTTTTGGAAACTTGCACTACAGATGTACGAAAAGTACAAAAATGTACAGCATTTGGTACCATTTCGTATTATGCGAACGGTTTGAGCTAAAATCTGGAAATTTGGAATGGGAATCGAAGTTGAGGAGTAGAATCGATGCAAGGAGGTAGTTTTGAAAATGTGTACTCATGTATACAAAATGTACTAAACGGTACTAAATTTAGTACATTATGAATTTGGAGGAAGGTATAGTACTGGAATCACGTAATTTGAAATTAACATTACTGGCGTAGTGTGGGATTGGGATATGGAGGAAGTTTTCGAAATATTGAATTTTTTTTATGCCCTACACCACAAGGTGGTCAGGGTATTATGTCTTTGTGCATTTGTTTGTAACAGGCAGAAGGAAACGAGATAGACCCATAGTTCCTTTTGATGATCTGCATAGAATTACATTCTGAGTCGATTTATGCATGTCCGTCCGTCCGTCTGTCCATGTATTTTTGTAAACAAAGTACAGGTCGCATTTATTGTCCGATCCAGATGAAATTTTGCAAAGATCTTTTGTTTGGCCCAAGCACGAACCCTATTGAAATTGGAGATAATCGGTCAAAATTTAGATATAGCTCCCATATATATCTTCGTCCGATTTGCCTTTTATTGTGCACCAAACGTGTAATATCCGCCCGAATTGTATGAAATTTTGCATATACACCCAAATTAGGCCTGAAAATATGTATGCGAAATTTGATCGAAATCGGTTCAGATATATCTATAGCTCCCATATATATTGTTCATCCGATTTGTTATTTTTGTCCACCGCCGCAGTAATATGCACTATGCAACAACAATATTTGGGGAAATATATCAAATACAGCTCAGAAATACATTTGCTAAATTTTATCGAGATCGGTTCAGATTTGGATATAGCTCCCATATATAACTTCGTCCGATTTACCTTTTATTGTGCACCAATATAATATTTGTCCAAATGGGATGGAATTTGGCACTTACGACCGAATTGAGTCTAGAAGCTAGTATGTCAAATTTGGTGAAGATCGGTTCAGATATAGCTATAGCTTCCATATATATTATTCATCCGATTTGTTATATTTTTTACCCACAACCGTAATATGCACTCCGTAACAACGGTATTCAGGGAAATATATCAAATACAGCTCAGAAATATCTTTGCCAAATTTTATCGAGATCGGTTCAGATTTGGATATAGCTCCCATATATATCTTTATCCGATTTCATATTAATTGTGCACCAAATGCTTCGGCATATTTAGTCCTTTGAATTTTAAATTATAATTATAATCATATAGTGTATGATTGCATTCTCTCATAAAAACTTTTAATTGTTATGCGGAGCTCTACTAAATTAGCAATGTGGTGTAGGGTATCATAAAGTCGGCCCCGCCCGACTTTAAGACTTTCTTTACTGGTTTGTGTTTGAGATTTGGAAATTTGTTCTAAATTTGTACGAGAGATACTAAATGGTACTAAATTTGTTATTTTGTGAAGGGATATGGTTGGAATCTCGAAATGTGATATTAAGGTCTATATTGGTGTCTGGTTGATGGTGGTCTACTATAATTTTAAGAAAAGTACTAAATAGTATTAAATTTGATATTGGATGAAGGAATAGATCTGAAATCCTGTAATTGTACGAAAAGTACTAAAAGTTACTAATTATACCCTCAACCTAGAGAGGGTATATATCATTTGATACAACCAAAACGTGCCTCATCCAAATAACGGTTTTAGACCCTAAGTCTCTTTGGACCAAATCCGTTTTAGGGCATTTAGAATCGATCTAGCGATTTCTGGAATCCTGAAATTTGACATTGTGGTCTCTAGTATCTGATGTTGATATGTGGGGGTAGTTTAGGAACTGCTTACTATAATTTTTCGAAAAGTACTAAATGGCACTAGTTATACCCTCAGCCATATGGCTAGAGCCTCATGTCTCATCGAAACAATGGTTTTAGACCCTAACTCTCTTTGGACCAAATCCGTTTTAGGACATTTGGAGTCGGTCTAGCGATGTCCGTCCATCCGTCCGTTTGTCTGTTTGACTAACTGGTAGGTATGATAACTATCGAAGGGAGTATCCGATTTGGTCCAAACTTGGTTCATTGTAATATTATTATCAAACTTAGGTCGAGTTCGGCGATGGGTAATATCGGTCCACCCCTTCTCTCCCACACAAGTTCGAAATTTAAAAAAAAACTACTCCAAAGAAGTAGAAAGATAATCCGATTTTGTTCCAAATTTGCAAATCCTAATATTTGTCAGGCCGAAAAAATATTTTAACTAACCTAAGGTCTGGTATGTAGATGTAATATATCGGTCCAATCCTTCTGGCAATATATAATCATATTTATTTAGGTCCGATACGAAATGGACAATATTGACCCATTACTTCGGAGCCAACTCAATAGAGGGTCAATAATTTGAATAATCAAGACACAATCAAAATATATTTAAAAAATCAAATATTGAGGATATACATCTGCATCGGCTGAACCGACTGATACCTTTTAACTTGTTTTGGATCACTGTTGGGGTCTACTTGTTATATATGTTACTACATATATTACTGGGATAAAGCTGAAATTCTGAAATTTGCTATTAAGGTCACTATTGTTTTTTTTTTGTTCACGTATGGGGAAGTTGAACTAGTTTTGAACAGAAAAATTGGATGTGGGTCACTTCTGCAGTGGTTTTATCCTATCCTCCTCGGCCAATTTCTAAATGAAAAATTTTGAAAAATTTTTGAAAGTCTGAAAATTACGCTGTATAGAGATAAGATTAGAACATTTTGTAAAAAAGAAAAAAATATGAATTTTGAGTACTAAAAAGGCCAAAAACGAAGTTTTAGAAAAAATTAGGATGGACTTTTCACTGACGAATTAGCGGATAAAAGAATAATAATTTGAAAACAATATTTCTATATCCCTCCTCATTCCCACTTCCTTTGACAACTTAAAAATTAATTTCATTCATTTTTGAAATAATGCAACCACGGTAGTAGCACAGCGCTGTTGTGGAATTAGTCAGAATTATTGTTCCAGCAGAGAGGGAGATGACGAGAACAGCTACAGCGCCATTATAAGACCGAATATTACACGAGTAATGCGCATTACTTATGAATGCATGCTATGGTAATGCGAATACGCTGGTGTTAGTCGTTAAGCAGGAGCACGTGTGCATGAGTGAATTTGGAAACGGAAACGGATGTATTGCGTGTTGCTACACAAATCCTCGTACACACCCATGTACACCAACACACTCGAATGTAAAGTCAAACAATCTCATACCTCCGACAACCTGTTTATTGTGGCATAGGGAACATCACAGCACACATTCACACTCAGCCAAGATGTTGTGGCTGACACGTTTTCAGTAATCATGGATGTTCTTCTTATGTGATTCTCGTTTCCAGGTTGCCGCTCTGATGTTTTTTGTTTTTTCGGAGAGAGATTGTTGACTTGTTCTGTCCAATGTTGTTGTTCGTACTTCTTTTATTTTCGGATGTTTGTTTGAAAACTCTTGGATGTGTTATGATGATGATGTGGATGCCAAGGACCTACGTTATATTGTCAAATTGAAAACGTGTTGAAAACAGATTCTTCATCATTCGTTTTTGTTGTTGTTGCTGCTGCTGTTGTCTTTATCATAGAGTGTTGACGAGCGAGTGTGAATTTAATATTTAATTTGCAGTCGGAATAATTTACCATGGCCACATGGCTGCTGATGTTGGCTGTTGTTAGCCCTTTATGGCCAGCGGTTATGTTTTGTAAGCGAGTATTTGTACAGAATTAGTCTGTCATGTTGCCACATGGCAAACAAATGTTGGCATCGTCATTTTCAGTTATGTTATTAGCACAAATATGTCTAAGCATATTTGAACTGTCATGT